ATCAAGAATCAACGGCTAACCCAAACGAAACTGCCAACCAATCAAATCAAGCTTTCAGCATCGGCAAAGCGTCATCATCAACAAAATTACACGCAGTGGTGGTACGGCGCATTGCCCACCATTTTACACGTATTTTTATCATTTCTCATTTCAATATCACGAGCACAAAGGTCATAATATCGATAGTGATAGTTTAGTCTGATTCACGTGTTATCTCGCGGTATATAACGTAGCCTCCATTTTGTTTGAATCAGTTTTGTGCAACTCGGTTGTGAGAGTGCGCGCCCGTATTTCAAATTTCTGTTGCATGCATTTCTGCAAGTCAAGTACCCAATTTTCAAATTGTATGTGCATTACTACGTATGCATCTTTACCAGGTATTTATTTTACTTTTTTATAATTTTTTTGTCCCACCGACATTTTCTACATAGGAAGTAGGTTTCGAGGTGTGTTTACTTATGGTGTGAATACGCCAAATGAACCCTTCCAGAACGGTAAAACACGTAAAAGATGTTTTAAAAATCTACACAGAAGTAATTATTGCTTTATTAGTTTTTTAACAGAATAATTTTTTTTAGTAAATATTTCTGCTGTCATCCCACAGCATCGGACTAAGGTGTAAAACTCTTAGCATGTGTCAAATTTGTATAATTATTTTAAGATACAAAATTACAGAATGATTCATTAGGAAGAAATGTAATGTTACAATTATTTGTTTGAGACAAATTACAAAATCTGTCGCATATCTACATCTTTAATAATTGCTTACCTTTTGGTTTTAATTAAAGTGCTGTTCCTAAAGTGGACTGGGAAACGGTAACAAAGTCGTTGTTTAGCAGTCGATGCAGATGTCACAATAAGAATAAAATATTGCCAGAGACCAGTTTCGGCTGTAGAGCAATTTTCAAGCCTATAAAAGTTTAACAGTTGACAAATATATTAAATTAGTAGAAGTTATACAAACCTATGATCTTATACGGTTTCTTAAATTACAAACAATAAATTAAAACACTCGACCATTCACTGTTGGGTACTAATTAACAGTGCTGTTCCTAAAGTGGCGCTGGGAAACAGTAACAAAGCCAACACAGAACACGAGGCTAATAACCATAGCAGTTGCTGCCGATGACACAAAAAAAAATTAAGGCATTATTGAATACATGCTCTTATAATGAACAACTAATACTAATGTGTTTGGTATAATTTCGAATACATATTATCATCTAGAACCTATGCTCTTATACAGTTTCTTAAATTACAAACAATAAATTAAGGCATTATTGAATACATACTCTTATAATGAACAACTAATACTAATGTGTTTGGTAGAATTTCGAATACATATTATCATCTAGAACCTATGCTCTTATACAGTTTTTTAAATTACAAACAATAAATTAAGGCATTATTGAATACATACTCTTATAATGAACAATTAATACTAATGTGTTTGGTAGAATTTCGAATACATATTATCATCTATAACTATCAATAAATAAAGTATAAGTAAGTTGTTAGGTATAAAAAAGTATTTCTTATAATATTAACACTCCACTAAACCTCCAGTAGGTGAGGATACTTTTTCCTCTGTAGGATGTCCCTTCTCCTTTTTATTCATCATTTATTTACACATCAATATACACCAAAACATTATAGCCCAAGAGCTAGTAACACATTTCATTAAGTGTTTGATGCACTTTGAAATTTTGTAATTTGAAATCATTTGGATGGAAACACAGATATACCTGTGTTGGCTAGACCCACCTGCAAAGGGGTCATAAAATATGACCCAAAAAAGTGTTTGATTCAGAGGCCAACAAACAACAATGGAAAATTTAAGTAATTCTAAAAATACTAAAAATTTAGGCAGACACTTTTGAGAGGGTTTATAATTGATAAATCAACCCCAAAGTTGATTTTTTTTAAATATGATTTAAAGTATTTGAATCACCCTGAAATTTTAATAGCGTCTTAATTAAATATAAAAAAATTAATTCCAAAAAGGCAGACACTTTTTCCAGGGTTTAATTGCAGGCCAACATAAAAATGAATGAACTTCGTTATGCGCCACTATGCATTGAATAAGTTTATACTTTTTAAAAACTAAACATTTTAAATTACCAAGACTGTGAAATAATAAAACAATATTTTTCCTTTTTTTTTTTTGAAAAAAAAAAACAAAAAAAAAACTAAAAGTTTCGGGACTGGAACCACCAACTTGCTATCCACACTATCGAAATCAAACACTTCAAATCATATTTAAAAAACATCAACTTTGGGGTTGATTTATTAATTATAAACCCTCTCAAAAGAGTCTGCCTAAATTACTAGTATTTTTAGAATTACCTAAACTTTCAATTGTTGTTTGTTGGCCTCTGAATCAAACACTTTTTTTGGGTTATTTTTTAGACCACTTTCTATTATGGGCAGTACCTGGTGTCTGGGGGTGGGTCTAGCCAACACAGGTATATCTGCTTTTCCATACAAATTATTTCAAATTACAAAATTTCAAAGTGCATCAAACAAATGGAATGTGTGTTACTTGCTCTTGGACTATTATTTTGACCTCAGGCCACCCTCAAGTGAAGTCATTTGTTTATTGTTAAAGAATTAATTACATTCTTAATAACAAGGAGAGATAACAATAATATAAGAAAGTTGAAAACAAAAAGTTAAAAACTTAAAAATTCAAAAAAAAAGAAACAAACAAAATCTTCATAAAGGAAATATTTTGTTTTAAATTTTTTTTCAAATTTTAATGTCGGGATAGGTACCTATAAAAAATATAAAGAATAAAAATGCATATGCACATAAATTTAAATGAACTCAAATCAATCTCTCATAAAACAAATTAACAAATTTGTAGTAGGCCTTTTCAAGCAAGAGATTCTTAACTTGATTTTTAAATGCTTTTAATGAGTTAATAAGGGGATCTCTCAGTAGAGCTTAATTTATCAGATGGATAAATCAGATTTAAATTTCTTGTTTCATAACGATGACTAACCAAACAGGAATCAAAAATTTCTCTATTCTTAAATAAGTACATTAGGAATTCAAATATTGTCTTACATGAGTCCCTGAAATGCATTTTATTAATTATTCTAATAACCCTTTTTTGGATAATAAATATTTTTTCAGCAGTGAAATTAGAGCCCCAAAAATGATTCTATATCTATGAACAGATTCGAAACAAGCAAAGTAGAGAGACATCACCAATTCTTTTTTTAAAATATTTACTAGTTATTCTTATTCCATATAATATTTTACTCAATTTAGAAACTGTTTCTTCTATAAATTTCGACCAACATAGGAATTCATCAATGTAAATACCCAAAAACTTTGCATCTATACTTAGTTCAACAGATGTATCATCTAACTTTATAATACTGATTGGCAAGTGGTTAAACATCTTCCTGTTATACACAATGTACTAAAACGGAAGAGGCAAGAGACAAGTGAGTGTTAGTATATCTTGCCTAATACATATTGCCTTACAAAAGACACCAGCATCAACTTCGCACATATGTCTTATGGCCCTCTTCTGTAAGACAAAAACTCTAGTGAACAACTTGGAAGAACATGTTCTCCAGAAACTTATATCATATTCCAGATGGGAGTCTATCAATGAAAAGTATACACTCCTTGCAACGGAAGAGCATGTTCCCCAGAAACTTATAGTATATCGCAGATGGGATTCTATCAATGAAAAGTATACACTCCTTGCAACGGAAGAGCATGTTTCCCAGAACCTTATAGCATATCGCAGATGGGATATCTTAATTTGTATGCAATAGTTATTACTGCAAACCCATTTTTGTTAGGGCTTTCATTTGCCAAATGTTAAGTATTTTTATTCATGTGTGTAACTCGTTTGCTGTAGATAGCTACTTTTTAGATTTAATCTTCATGTAATATTATAAGTGCATTCACTAATGCCTTAATTTATTGTTTTTAATTTACGATACTATCTTGTTTTGTATAACATTTTTTCTACAACTTAATATATTTAAAAGTTTTATAGGGTTGAAAATGGCTCTATAGCCGAAACTGGTTGCCGTAATTATTAAAGATAAATGGGATAGGTTTAAAGTTTTATTTGTCTCATTGAAGATGACCACATTTGAGAGGTTGGATTTCCTTCTGAATTATTTGTTTTGTGATGTTGACACATTTTTGATACTTGGTTTAGATGTAGCTCTAAAAGAAATACATATGTAATTTTTTAAGTGAGTATTCAATTGGGTTAAATATTAATTACCTAACTTGAAGCCACTCCAAATCCTACACTTCCTTGAGAAGATAGGATTGGAAGGGTCGTTATAGGCATTGAGACATTTCCTTGCTGTATTAGCGACAGAAGGGGACACAATAGATCTTTTAGGTCGGTGTATTAACACCTCATTTCCAACATAAGCTACATCTAATTTGACCTTCATTTAACAATCTACATGTTCCTGGTTCATCATTACCATGGTGCTAAACATTTGATCAATCCTTTCATTTCAACTTCCTGTCTCTGAATAAAGCATTATGTATAATTTAAATTTTTATTTAGTATGTTTAAACTATATGCCTTAGAGTGAAAAGGACTCACTTTTTTTGAGTAAAACAAAATTGCATTTTCACCATGCCAAGTTATCAAAACCAAAAATTTTTATTTTTATACTTTGTTTTTACCTAATTTGTTTTGCTTATAAGAGGATATAATTGATAGATTAGATCACTATTTATTCACTTCCTTTCCATAAGTTTTATAATATTAATTTCTGCAAGAAATCTATAGACAAGTGGTCTTTAGACATTGTTTAAAATTATTTTCCAAAAAAAACTAGTTAAACTGGTTAAACTAGATACTTATTTACCAAAATTGTCCTAGTATTATTGAGAAATGTGACCCTAAAATATCCAACAAAATAACTCTGTTGCAATATTTTTACAGCATCTATTATTTGTTGATTCCGAGGTTGAGTCCAAATTTTAATAAAAACATTTCTTGTCAGGTTATGTGCCAGATCAAATTATTGAAGGTAGTTTGGAAGATAGCTTTAGATGTTTATCGTTGAATCACGTCAACACACTTAACAAGAAGAGTCAATTGGACCAAGTACCGATCAGTGCAAAAGACATCGTTTTAAGAAAATGTGGACAGACAGAGCCGTTGGAATTTTCAAAATGTTTTCCGGACAGGTATGTTTAAACACCTAAGTACCCATCTTTTTTTAGTAAGAATAACTGTCACAAAATTACTGTCATGACTTTTCAAAATGTATCCACCAAAATATGCTTAAGCTACCATTTCGGAACGCGCGACCAAGGGAAGCGACAGGCGGCACGCAGAAAATCCCACCGTGCTAAAACTGCTGTCGTCGGTCGCGCCTTCCCAAATGTGTTTCATATAATTACATGTTTACAGAGTATTCATGTTAGCATTCACCATCTAATTCACAAACGATCTTTAAACATGTAGGGCTAATTTTAAATAAATAGACATTGCTATCTAAGGTATAACTATTTAAAAATGTTTTATTAATATAGATGTCTATCAATTAATTATATTAAAAAATTATTTTATTATTAGTAATTAAATATTTTACTAGCAATACGAGATTTTCTTTTAATGAAACCGGATTAATGTTGTTTTTCTAATTTTGAATAATTTTAACTATTTTTAGTATGTATTTTTATTAATAACAAAATATACACTCCCAGGCACAAAATTGCGCCACCCAAAATTTTTGACAAGGTTTGATGTTTTATCCTATTGTTACGAATAAATATAACACCCTGTGAATAGGTAAAGTTTTGTCGAAGGGCATGCGCGCTAAATAGATTTTCAATAAAATAATAAAACGTTTAGTTGGACAAGGTTTTATTAAATCCTAATATTAAAGTACAGGGTCAAGAAAGATCAATAAGAGCATTCTTGGAAAATTAAGTTAATTTTCGGGGGTTCCTTTTGGTTTTTGTTGACGAGCGGTCGTAATCATTCGTACTAAGTGAATTCCTTTTTTTGTGTCGGAAAGTAGAATTACGGGTCGGTCACGCGAAATCGCGGTTAGTTTTTTGTAAAGCCACACAGTGGGAAAAGTAACGTGTGCCTCAGCCAGCCCTGCAGCCTAACGGATTAAAATATAATGTTTATGTAAGTAAATAGTTTTGAGTAAAAATATTTAGTTTTGTGTAGTCAGCAAAGACTACTGAATTGCTGAAGCGATACTAATTGTTTCTATATTTGTTAAATAAATTATTTGTTTTACGCTTGTTGTGTCAATTTTTTTGGTTTATGAAAACTCACGATCATTCAAAGGCGGGGGTATTGATTTAGTCAGATCTCTGAGAGAGAGAGAGAGAGAGAGAGAGAAAGATACTGCCAAAGGGAATAGTCCCTGTAGGGCAAACCGTTTCCCCGCCCTCTGAATCATCGTCAGAAAGTTAAGGTTCCTTTTAGGCCTATCCCGTCTGAACTTAGCCCCCTAGCCGTGTGTTATCTTGAGGCCAATTTAAATACAAATTGGGCCCCTCTATATAACCCGTGGTTACCGCTAAGAGTGGACTTTAGGGTCGGTTAAAAGGGCCTATAATCTCACTCTTAACACTATTTTTATAAATTTTCTATTAGTTTGTAAATAAATTTATTGTTTTTTTAAATTATTTGTAATAAGTAACATTTTTTGTTTAGACAATATTATACAGGAGTAAGTCAAAACGCCTAGTAGCAAAATTGAGGCGAATAATTTTGCTGTAATCTCAGATGTATTCCAAACTTTTTTGTTTTTTGATTCATCCCATCGTCTCATTTCTTCTGTGAGCTGCATTTTTTTTAATAAAACGCAGTTAATTTTTATTAATGACGAAACGATCATTAGTTACAGTGGTCATTCTCCTTCCGTCAGAGCCTTGCTGCCTATTAAAGTTTCCCGTCTGTAAATACCTGTTCCAAGCATTTTGAACTGTAGACCGCGGAAATCCCAGAGTACCGGCGACATAACTTTTAGTACAGCCATCCTATATTAGAGCAACAATTCGACCCAAGTCTGCTGTAGTCAATACCATTATAACAATAAATTCTAATACGGTACTGTCAATGTCAAACATTTTATCACATAATCGCGTAAGTAGCCAACTTCGATAATTTTTAACCAATAGCTTGACATCCATTTTTCATAAATTAATTAAAATTAACAGCGTTTTATTAAAAAAATGCAGCTCACAGAAGAAATGAGATAATGGGATGAATCAAAAAACGAAATGTTTGGAATACATCTGAGATTACAGCAAACGGTATGTGAACAAAATTATCTACCTCAATTTTGCTACGAGGTGTTTTGAAGTTGCGACAAAAAAAAAACATTTTGATTTACCTACCCTGTATAATACTACAATAATTTCAAAAAATCACAATAAATTTATCTATAAACTGGTAGTAAATTCACAAAAATAAGATAAAACATAAAAAAGTTATCAAACTTGGTGAAAATTTTAGGGTGGCGGAATTTTGTGCCGGGGAGTGTATATTTACTCCAAATTTTAATAATTACAATTTATATTAAAACACAGTGACTCCAAATAATAGTTGAGATCATCGTAATGTATAATAAATGTTTGTTACTACAGTATATATAATGAGTCATTATTCATTATATAGACTGTAGTAACAAACATTTATTATACATTACGATGATCTCAACTATTATTTGGAGTCACTGTGTTTTAATATAAATTGTAATGAGAAAACATATTTTGTTTGTAATTTAAATGTTTTTATTTATATTTTCCAATGAGTCTAGACCTCTTTAAAGATAAAACATTGCGCCTTATCTTTTTAATACACAATATAGGTGCCGATTGTTTACTAGAAAATACGTTTGATCACATTATGAGGTCTGATAATCGAATTCCATAAAATATTACGAAAGTATCAATTTTTCACGTCTTTGTCAAGTTAATAACCTTGGCGGTATTTTTGTATTCCTGCGACAAGGTTACGAGATTCCGTTCGATAATACACAAGAGAGGCGAACTGTTGTGCAACGTACACTTTCTCTGACTGTTCCCTTAGTCACTTTCTCTATTCGCAAAGAAATGAGACGATTTACAGGTTGTAATTATTGGGACAGTATGGACAAAATTGCTTTATACAGTGTGATGAGTTCAATGGAATTCTATAAGGTGCTAACATTTTTTTGGCTTCGTAAAATTATTTTTGTAAATTAATTGATTTTCTAATAATTCTTCATTATTAAATAAAGTACAAATAAAGTATTGTATGGGGGGTAATCAACCCTTTAGTCTACTCCACTGCATTGTCGTCACTTATCAAACGTGTAGACCTTTAACATCTCAAGGGTACTGCAATATGTTTAAAATGTTTGTTGATATTTTGAAATTTATGATACCGACTAACTTTAAATAATTTTTAAATTAATAAATTTACGTAGTTTGATGAATATCATATAAAAATATTATTGAACTTTCGTTTAAAAAATTCAAATAAGGAAAACATATGAACAATATTTTTATAACTTAGGTAATCTAGAACAGTATAAATAAATAAAAATAAATATCTCGTAAAAATATATCTCAGAAATAGATAACTTTTAAAGTCACTAAACTAATAAAATATACAAAACAGATGTATACTGATTGATCCTTTTTTTGAAAACAATGTACTTATGCTTCCTAAAGAAATAATTTTGTTAGCCAGTTACACTATAATTATTACATAAGCCTGTTCATTGTCTAGAGAGAAATTATTTTGAATTAATTACAAACGGAAATATCCGTTTCTTTACGAAAAGGAAATTGAACTTTTGATACTTATTTCATTACACAAACCTAACATGCATGACTTTTGTTTAGCACAAAATTAATTAATATCTGTGCAACATTATGTAAGAGGAAAGCAACTACTTTTTGTTTTTTATTTTTTTTGTGGGTTCTAATTGCACTGTGTTGCATAATCAACGTATATTTTTGAAAACTATTTCAAATGCAACGGTTGAATTTTTTTCTCGTAAAACTATAGTAGTTTGTGCAACAAGAGTGGATATGATGGCCATAGCGCACGAAGACTAAGTTTGAACACGACGCCGTAGGCGGAGTGCCGTAGGCGGAGTGCTCAATCGTCTGAGTGCAATATGGATAATCCACTCGAGTTGTGTAGTATATTTTTTTTACGACCCACTAACGAAAATCTACGAATTTTAAAGGTTATTTTAGTTTATTAAGACAAAATAACTAATTTTAAAATAATTTATGAATTTTACTAGTTTTTAATTAGTCCCCAGCCCAGATTCGAACCCGGAAATTTCGCGTGGAAGGCACATAAATAAATGCTCTTATTTATCGATTCTATACAAAAATAACTCATTTTAATGTATATTTAATCTTAATAACTAAAAAACGGGGTGCGTGGCTCAGTGGTAGAGTCTCTGCCTGCGGATTCAAGGGTCCCAGGTTCGAATCCCACCGTTGGCCGGAATTTTTTCATTTAATTTAAATATTTAAAATTAATTCTGATGCCTTGGCAGGATTCCCCACTCGACCATTCACTGTTGGGTTCTAATTAACAGTGCTGTTCCCAAAGTGGCGCTGGGAAACAGTAACAAAGCCTACACAGAACATGAGGCGAAATAACCTTAGCCGTTGAAGCCGATGACACACAAAGAAAAAAAAATAACTAAAAAATATATACTGACAATTAGTTTGGCAGAATTGTCACTTATTTAAAATTTTAAAAATAATAGTAGTTGGGTGTCTAAAATATGAACTGTGAGTGGTGGATTTCATTTTTTTGCAGTGTTCTCACTACCTAGAATGCATGTGAAGTGTATTCGTTCATTTGAACGCAATAGCATACTTTTTCGTTTTGTAGTATGTGCGTAGATAAGCTAATATCCATGTGGGTGTAGAAAAAAGTATATTATGCTATGTTACAAACAATTTTGGTTATAAATAGATCCTTTATTATTGTCCCGTTACCAAGAATATTTGATGAAGTGAGTAAACCTCCGAAACCTCCCTCCCCCCTCGATACGCCAGTCACCAGTCGAAGTTCTAAATTAGTATGGAATGTACTGGATGGCACCGCTGCCGTAGCAAGTTCTGGTGTATGCGCGAACATTTGTGAAATACCCTAGGAAATATCACTTATATGTATTATAAGTTCTAGAGCCAATATTCGTCGG